TAGGATAATGGGAGTACTTTGTATAAAATAATAAAAATTTCAATTTTTACAGAAAAATGAATAAAAATTTATTGCACTGAGCTCCTCACTCTAGTAAAACTAAGTGAACTTTGTACCCCTTTATTTGCACTTCTCCCCAAAATTTACTTTTGATTAGTCATGAAATGGCTATTTTAGAGGGTGTGATTGATGGACTAACAGAAGTCACAGAATTTTATATATAGATAGATTGATGACCAATATAACAAAATGCCTTTTATCAAGATGATAAAGAATGTCACCAGCTTAAACTGCATCAAATATTCAAAATTTTTGCTGTTCTTGGTATCCAAGAACACCTTTAGAAAAACAATGCTATATACAATGTACGATGAGTAAATTGTCACCAATTTATATCTTAATTTTGTGCATGCGCATTTTTTGATTTTGTTCACTGCACAGTATAGTTGGGCACAGTCTGTGAGAAAAAGAGCACCATGATGCAATTCACTTTGCCAGACATTTGGAAATGGCATGCTGTACAATACAGACATTTCAAAGTGTTTTGGTGTCAATCTGAGGAAAGAGTTGGATGAGTCTAATGGTGATTACAAAGGTACAACAGTTTGGAAAACTCACTCTGATTGTTCTGATAAAAAAAAAGAACTCCCAAATTTGTTGGTGACACAGACTCAACACAGGCCTACATCAAGTCCCTTGAGTAGGTAGTGCTACCCTTGGCCAAGAGGGTGGTTGCTGGAAGTTCCTATGCCTGGCAACAGGACTCTGTAGTAAGCCTCACAAGCAGGAGAACACAGTCATGGCTATCAGACAATTTCTGCAACCACACCCCTCCTTACATCTAGTCACCTAACTCCACAGATTACAACCCTCTTGATTATTATGTGTGGGGTGCAGTTGAGTGAGAAACCAACAAAACTCTTTGTAAGACCAAAGATGAACTGAAGGCAAGGAGTATGGCAGCATTCACCAACTTCAACAAGGAGACCATCCAGAAGAGTTGCAAGAGATTCTGGAGGCCATGCTTGATGCCAAGGGGATTTTATTGAATAAATTTACTCTTTAGTATTTAAAGATATTTTTGTGTAATTTTGTTAAATATATCTGTTAAAATGAGATGTCAGTGTTATTTTCATTTTTGCATAATTTAGACAACAATTTATCTATCACACTGTATTTTTTGACAAATTAGTTTTGAAGTTTTGCCAATGAATGGAAATCAACCCAAGATATCCTCAATCAAATGGTTTCATTGAAAGAATTGTCCAACTAGTGAAAAATACCATGAAAAGACAAAACAATAAAAAATGGACTATCAAATGTCTTTTTCTATGACTAAGTACAACCCCATTGTACAATCAGTTACCTTCACTAGCAGAAACCTTTATTTTTGAGTACTACCCCAAACAAGGGGGTGCACATCTGATTGATGTTCCTGTGCAGTGCTTTGTGACCCTCACTATCTTATCAACATTTGCTTTTGTCTACCTAAATTTATACACAACTATCTTTGCAGAGAGGCCTGTATCTAGACATGCCTCGCTGTCAACGGGGAAAACCTGGATATGACTAGTTTTGACAGATATGTCCATATGTGACTTAGGGCTTCTTTTTTGTCTGTACTGACATGTGTTCGCCACACAAATATAGTTCTCAAAAGGGGAAATGGACAAATAAAATACATTTCCAAGAAATACAAAAACAAGGAAAACACTTTACAAACAGAAACAATAGTGATTTAGAATAAAAAGTTGATAAAGAGACACATGGTGGCTTGGAGGAAAATTTCAGACTCAGTAGTAGGAAGTATATCATTACCATGTTGCCTCTTTGGTCAGCAGTAGCTAAAGAACATGTGGTAGTTTCCTTACCCCTAATGGGTTATGTGGCAACAGACTCACAAAAATTATAGCTAAACACATGTATGTTTTTGTGTGATAAATGTCTATTTTTATGGAACATTAAAAACTATTCTCATAATTTTAACCCTATTACTAATGTTACTACTAACTAAGCAAAGTATCCAAGCCTGGGAACATCTATACCAGTGTTATAAAATAAAATAAGACATATCTCGGCTGATTTGCAGGCAAATAAACTAACATACTCAAGAGAGAGAGCCAGATGTGAACAGGACAAGGCCCCGTCACAAAATGACCATTATCGTCATTTGCACACAGGCCTGACGCATGAGTTCCAGTCGAAAAATAAAATAATGTTTTAAAGTGTTTCTATTTTTCGACCAATAAAAATGCTTCCTTCCTAATTATACTTGCGTCGTTTTTGGAGCCTGTTAAACCATAAAAAATGCCATAAAAGGAGTCACATGGGGAAGTACTAGCAGTCAACAGGAGGCCAGGGAAGAGATCTGTCACGGTCAGTCTGGGCAGTCAGCAGGAGGAGCGCCATGCCAACCAGTGAGAACTACTATGAGAGATCAACCCAGATCTTCAGCCGGCTTATGAACTATACCACAAGGTAGCTGTCCCAAACCCACACGTTCCTATTGAAATAAATTACATAAATCTATTTCTGCTGTTGTTGTATTTCCTTCTTGCAACCATACGCTTGTCTATAACACCAGTCTCTTTGATAACCATCTTACTCTGAACTGTACAATATCTTTACTGACCTTTTCCTGGTGTCAGATATTTTGAATTTCTTTTTCTTTTTGTTAGTTCCCAAGAATAAACAGAGTACATTGCCAGTGACTGTCATCGAGGGATAGAGTGACGAAGGGTAGTTGCAATGTAGAGACCAGAGAAATAAGACGCCCCAAAGCACACAGTGGCAGGTCTTACAGGAAAAATCACATGATCTCAGTGAGTCAATAAATCTTTTCAACTAAAATTCAGTTTTTAATCAAAATATAGACACGAATGAATATAAAATGTTCATTTGTTTTAATGTCGACATAAGTGTTGTGTAGGAACCTACCACCCCTCTTGGAGATGAACTCGTCTACAAAGAAGGACGTTAACTAGTGGCATGTCAAAAGACAGTGTTTTTTTGTTAGTTCCCAAGAATAAACAGAGTACATTGCCAGTGACTGTCATCGAGGGATAGAGTGACGAAGGGTAGTTGCAATGTAGAGACCAGAGAAATAAGACGCCCCAAAAGCACACAGTGGCAGGTCTTACAGGAAAAAATCACATGATCTCAGTGAGTCAATAAATCTTTTTCAACTAAAATTCAGTTTTAATCAAAATATAGACACGAATGAATATAAAATGTTCATTTGTTTTAATGTCGACATAAGTGTTGTGTAGGAACCTACCACCCCTCTTGGAGATGAACTCGTCTACAAAGAAGGACGTTAACTAGTGGCATGTCAAAAGACAGTGTCGGAGAAGTTCTGGGCTGAGTTAGTTATAGACTACTCAGGCGATATCTGTACCAACTTACCAACCGAATAAACCCCATTTTATTGTTACATGTTATTTGGCGTTTGTCTTTATTAACCCCAAATTAACATCATAACATAAGTTAAATAGACTTTGAGGGGGGGATCTCTTTTCAATTAAAATCCGATTTTTAATTGTGATATAATGTCATCAATAGTTCAATTGTTGGAGTTAGCTCCTCCTTAATTTCCTAATTGTCACTAGGGTACGCTTTCCCTACACTATAAATACTGGGCAATTTCTTGCCCTGTTCTCTTTGTTTACTTTGCGTTTCAGATATTTCCTGGTGTCAGATATTTTGAATTTCTTTTTCTTTTTGTTAGTTCCCAAGAATAAACAGAGTACATTTGCATGTGTATATATCTTTTATCTAATCTGTTTCATGTTTGCTTTAATACCTAAATATGATGATATTCAGTCCCCCCCCCACGAGGGTGTCATGTGGCACAAGGCCTTTTTAACGTGGGCATTCCAAGCCCGTGGGCTCGGCCAAAAATATGCCCATTGAACCCGTATAAACGGGTTCAGGGCCGGTCTACCTTCCCGAAGGAGACTCCGCCCTTCGGCATAGCCTCCTTTGGGTTCCTCCCGTCCGTAGGAAAAGAGTTTAACTGAACAGTCGGTTCAGACTTGAACGACTGACTCAATACCTTAAATGATAGTGATTGTGTTATATTTATGTCATATAATACCTAAATATGACACAATCACTATCATTTAATGTAGCATAATGCTTTTAAATACTTAATATTTTAGTTTTGTTAGTGAGAAGTCCAGCTCAGATGTCGTTCTTCAAGTAACCTTGAGTTACCTCACTTCACCCTTAGCACCATCTTAGCTATTTTTTTGCATTTGCTAGAGAGCTTAGAGAACTGTAGTGATCACTTACATGTGCCACACCTCTGCTTTCTTTAATGTCATTGGTTCATAAATATATGATACTTATTATATGACAATTTTGCCATCGCACATCATTTGAATTTTTCTCTAAAATCACGGATTGGTCCATTTCCTGACCAATCGCATATTTTAGTATCTTTCTATATTTTTGGCGCCAAGCTCACTGGAGCCTATGCATAACTATATAAACTCTCTCGCTGTTAGCCAACAGCAGTAGCAGTTCAATTCTTGGAAAATAAGGTACGGCGCTATATTGACATTTTAATTCTTAATTATTACTCATTCGAGTAATCCAACTAATTTCTATTGATAACACTCGTGAACATTACATCTCATAACACAATGTGGAAATTATTCTTAATTTAGCTAAGACCTCAATTGAACTTTGTAGTTAAATAACATTCAATATTGTACTCAACATTAATTTGCTAAACTTACCCTTTTTTATTACGGAAAAAGGGAAGCAACTTTCTTTATACTATTGTTGATTTTTGTATACCATTGTTAATACAATATATTATTAATGTTCACTGAGCTTGATTGTTTTTCTCTCGTGTATGTTGTGCATAATTCATGTGGGGTGTTGTTTTACAAGAACACAGCCTTCCTTCTTTATTATATTCACGGTGACCCTAGCCAACAATTCATACAGCATCACTACAGAACCATACATGTGTGTAATCATGCCACAATCTCACGGCCACATCACGCTGAAACACCAGTTTCCATATGATCACTGAAGTTAAGCAACGTTGAGCCTGGACATTACCTAGATAGGTGATGGTTTGGGAAAGTGCTGTAAACTTGGATGTGTGGGTGGTGTAATGGATAATGGCTCAGAATTGTTAGTCGGAGAGCCAAGTTTCAATTCCAACTGGGTTCATTATATTCACTTACATGCAAATACACTTGGCAAAGCTATGAATCTACTTCTTACCCCCATAGCTATGGGTTAATTAGTAAGACTTGTATCATTAAAACCATTATTATTCCCCCCCCAAAAAAAATATAACTGCATGCAAAATATTTAGATTGGTGCATTAAATAACCCAAAAAACAGACAAACCAAATAATCATGTTACAACTTGTTTGAACAGGCATGTAAATTTACTTAAATGATATTATTTATAATAATAATAATAATAATAATATATATATATATATAAGAAATGGACAAGGTCCGACAATTTATTTATTAAAGACATTTTATTTATAACGTATTTTATAGATATATTTAAGCAAATGCTCTGTTTAAGATAAACAGTAAAATAACATTTACCGGCCTGAATGTCCGAAAATTTTCATGAAAATATTCGTTCATAGACAGGATTCGAACCTGCATCCTATACGAACTGTCATATACGCTGACATGCCTTAACCACTCATTACCATGAACAAGGTCGAATTTACTGTTATAAACTAAAACTACAATCTTCCATGAATCTCGTTTCATAATGGGCGTATCGAATATAAACAAATGACGTCATATGTTAAAAAATGGACAAGGTCCGACAATTTAAAAAGACATTTTTATTTATGTTTAACGTTGTTATTTTATAGATACAAGTATTTAAGCAAATGTCTATGAACGAATATTTTCTATGAAAATTTCTCGGACATTCAGGCCGGTAAATGTTATTTAATACTGTTTATCTTAAACAGAGCATTTGGTGGCCGAGTGGTTAAGGCATGTCAGCGTATTTTCCGTATAATGCAGGTTCGAATCCTGTCTATGAACGAATATTTTTCTATGAAATTTCTCGGACATTCAGGCCAGTAAATGTTATTTAATACTGTTTCTTAAACAGAGCATTTGCTTAAATACTTGTATCTATAAAATAACAACGTTCAACATAAATAAAAATGTCTTTATAATTAAAACAGTAATTAACATGAAATTAAGTCAATATTCTTATACTTTTTCTATATTAGTTTTAAATGGTTGACACCAAGGACTTCCTAAAAAAAACTGACTGAACTGACATTATAGAGGAAAAGCGAAAACAGCAAATTTCAAAATCTCTTAAAAACCCAATATTTATTCTTGAGATTTGTTTCAAAGTAAACTAGTATAAATTTAAGGATTAATTAACTGGATTTTGTAAAAGTAATGCTTACCTTTTGATTAAAACATAATGAAAGTAACGTTTATCTCTTCACAGTAACCCGTGATGTCATTAGTCAACATCAGTAAAAAAAAAGTAAAAGTAATTTTCTTTCATCCCTGGTTTCAAAAGTGCCTGAAAAAGGAAAGAAATGCTGACACCAGCAGTGCAATAATAAAAAAATAAAATAATATTTATGTTTAAAAATAAATTACCTTTAACTTTATATAACTAGTAGTAACAATATAGTTTTACTATTCTATATACTTTTATGAAATTTAGTAGAATGACTAATTTTATTTTTTTTACACTATGAGTATAAAAATGAATTTAATTAAAAACTAGTGAAATGATACTTTTTGAGTTTAATTCATTGCTTTTATTTTTTCACTTTCTTTATTTTCTTACCTGTTTGAGGTCATAAAATATTTATTTGCACCCAATAATTTATTTTCTAATTATTCTGAATTACATCTCCAATACAGAAGAGAAGACAAAAATGATAATTCAGAATTATTTCTTTTTGTACTTCCATACGTAAACAAATCTAAGTTGCTAAAATAAAAATAAAAAATTACAATTAAATGTTGACACTTGATAATTGCATTAAACTTGAAATTTTTTTTGATTCTTCAAACGTGTCTTTATTCAATAAAAAGAACTTTTGTGAGGAACAGCAATGGAATGAATTTCCAAATCACATTGAAAAATTTTAAAATTACAAGTAAATTTTTTAAAATAAATATTCACATCACTTATTTTTTTTGTTTTTTTTTCTTGCACATTTTGAAAGAAAATAATGTTTTAGTTTTTTTTTATTAAATTATACAAGCACTAAACCTCCTAAAATATTTTTTAGTTTTATTGAATTATTTTGGGGGAAATTTGGGACAAATTTTCACTATTATTCCCACATAATATTGTATAAAATTTTTACTGAATTATTAACATCTTCAGGGAATTTTCTTTAATTGTAAAAAAAAAAACGAAAAAAAAATTCCCCCGCCCCTCATTAAAGCGTATACCCGACCGTATACGAGAAATATCAGAAGAGAGCAGGCGAAACTGATCCAACCAGATTATTTATTTGTACAAAGTTTTCTAATAGAATGACGTATCCAATATAAAATAAAATAAAATTAATTCATTAATAAGTGCTAAAAATCTCTCTTGAATCGGATAATTCCCTGATTTTGTGCAATTTTTTTAAAACAGAGGAGCGACTTTTTGCTTTCATTTCGGTAAAGAAAAACGCATCCATTTTTGGTGGTACCTCTGGTAGATGAATTCGCTTTTGGCTGGAAGTGTAGTAAACTGTTCTTTTCATTTTAGATCTGAGAAGGCGCTTGGTCCCGGGGATTCCAACCCTGCAGCAACACCTTCCTGATTCATTGCACTATGTGGTGTCGCTGTAGTAATCGATGTCAGCGTGACAATAGTCGCGGGGGATGGGCAAATTTTTTGTCCTTTGGCTCTTTTTGGCCATATGCACACTGTGTGCATATGGCCAAAGGACAAAAATTTTGCAGCACAAATATGGCACTCACCACATGAAAAATTAAAAATAAAATCAACCTTGTTTCACATCCTGCCTTAGTAGTGGATAGGCTAGAGGTTAAATACTTATTTTTTTATTTTTAATCAACTCATTTTCTGAAACAAAATACTTGTATAATATACGTTATGTTATTTAATTTCTTATTGTTATGAAATATTCATACATGTGCTAATAAACTCTAGTAAATTATTTATGACATTGATGATCAGATCTAGAGACAATTTTCCTAATTGCATCCTGAGAAAATTGTACACATTTTCTTTCGAAATCATTATGCACTTACTTATTTAATTTAACCTTTGACATTAGTGGGAAACACGCCTTTATTCTAACTTTTTAAATAAAGTCCAATTCAATATTATTTAATCTTAAAAACAAGAAGATTAATTTAATAAACAATCAGATTCATTTTTACAGTCCTTGACTAGCATACTAATTTTTTTTTATAACTGCAAAAAAAGGTATAAAATTTAATTGTGTTAGTATTTTTAAATTATAAGATTATTTTTTTTTTCTCCTAATTGAACAAAAAATATCTTCTCTTTATTTAACAAAGAAATAAAAAAAATATTCCCAAACCAAAATCATTTATTTTTAAGTCAAATCCTCCTTCTTCTTTATGTTTTAATTATCTCCCTTGATTGTTCACTCTTCGGGAACCATTTCAGATCGATTGCGAATGTCATCTGTTTTAAATTTAAATTCAACCAGAAGACATTACTTTATTTAAAATTTTATACTTTTTTCTTCTCTATAATGTTGCCTTGTTCTAAGGAAAATAAATCAAATGAAAGAAGATAAAAAGAGTAAGTATTATTTTCATTGTTTACAATTAAAAATACGTACTTTACAGATTCTTTTTTTTTTTTTTTTTACTATCAAATAATTAAGATGATGTATTGTAAAAAATGTACATAATATTCAATATTTCTGTTATCTATTGATGCAAAAACTACATTGAATTAGGCGATTTTTTAAAAGTGATCTCATTTTTTTAATTTATTTAATGTACTGAACTTTTAATCGCAGTGAATTTTGTTTTGGTTTTAAATAGTTTATGTCTCTACTTAAGTTTTCATTTAGAATTTGTCTTAGAAAATTACATGAAAATACATTCTGATAAATATTAAAATCTTTTAAATTGATTTTTGTGTTTACTTTTTTCTCTTAACATGAAATTTGTAATGTGCATTTATTATGAAGAAATTATTCACTGCGGTGCTTGACCGGTGCTATCTCAACTATAGTCCCTAGTATTTTATAGGTACCTCCACTAATGTGGTATACCTAAGGTTTAAAATGAATTTTCATAAATTAAAAATCTTTCTTGAAGCTTTCATTTTAGCTTTAATTGAAAGCTAAAGGATTGAATTTACTCTTTTTAGTAAGCAAAATACTCTGTAGTGTATTTCAAACAGAAATTCTATTAATTGGAGTCAATTTATTTTTTAACTAAAAATTGCTGATTAGTGCTCTTTTTTAGCCATTATCACAATGAATTTGTCTTTATTAAAAATATCTTCCAAAAATGAAATATACTTTTCTGAAACTTTATGCAAGAATGTTGAAAACAATGTTTTTTACCACAAAAAGATGCTAAATGAATTTTTTAAAATGAAAAATCTTTCTTGAAGCTTTTATTTTCAAGTTAATAGTTTAAATTTAATATTTCCAATGAGCAAAATACTTTGCTGTATTTAAAAACTAATTTTAATTGACTGGAAGGAGGTTTTTTTTGTTGTTTTTTGCTAAAAAAAAAATTGATTTTAGCACCATTTTTAGTCCTTGATCATTGCAATGTAATTCTCTTTATTAAAAAAAAAATAAATAAATAAAATATACTTTTCTGAAACTTTTTATTTGAGAAATATTAGCTGATTTAAAGTTTAATTATTCTGATTTTAAATATAATACTTACTTTTAGTTTAATATATTGCAAAATTCATATTTTAGCACAGGAGGAGGTGCTTTGATTAGGTGTTAACAGGTCGACAGTTGAAAGTGTGTCTAATTTCTTTTTTCTAGGGGGGACATATCTGTGATAATTACTTGAGGAATATGACATGAATGCCTTTTTATATAATTTTTAAGTACTCAGTTATCTTAAAAATTTAGGAAAATATTCTCTGTA